CTATTATGCAATCTCTTTTCTTGCTCTCCTCTATTCTTCCCTGACTCAAACTTCCTGCTCCCTCCTTTCCTCACCTCCCCTTCTTTTTCTCCTAACTCCCTCTCCCCTCCCCCCATGCTCCCAATTTGCTCAGGAGATCTTGCCCCTTTCCTCTTCTCTGGGGGACCTTGTATGTCTCTCTTAGGGTCCTCCTTGTTTACCAGCTACTCTGGTGGTGTGGATTATTGGCTGGCAATCCTTTGCTGTATGTTTAAAATCCATACATGGGTGAGTACATACCATGTTTGTCTTTTTGTGACTGGGTTACCTCACTCAGGATGGTTTCTTCTAGTGCCATCCATTTGCCTGCAAATTTCAAGATTCCATTGTTTTTTCCCACTGAGTAGTACTCCATTGTGAAAATGTACCACGTTTTCTTTATCCATTCTTCTGTTGAGTTGGCATTTAGGTTGCTTCCAGGTTCTGGCTATTACAAATAATGCTGCAATGGACAGAGTTGAACAGATGTCCTTGTTGTATGAATGTGCATCTTTTGGGTATATGTCTAAGTGTAATTGCTGGATCTTGTGGTAGACTGATTCCCATTTTCCTGAGGATCTGCCATACTGATTTCCAAAGTACATGTTTGCATTCCAACCAGCAGTGAAGGAGTGTTCCCCTTTCTCCTATCCTCTCCAGCATAAACTGTCATTGGAGCTTTTGATTTTAGCCATTCTGACAGGAGTAAGATGGTATCTCAGAGTTGTTTTGATTTGCATTTCCCTGATGGCCAAGGATGTTGAATATTTCTTTAAGTGTCTTTTAGCCATTTTAGATTCCTCCATTGAGAATTCTCTATTTAGTTCTGCACCCCCACTTTTTAATTGGATCCTTTGGTGTTTTGGAGACTGGCTTCTTGAGTTCTTTGTATATTTTGGAAATCAGCCCTCTGTCAGATGTGGTGTTGGTGAATATCTTTTCCCAATCGGTGGGCTGCCTTTTTGTATAATTGTCTGTGTCCATTGCCTTATAGAAGCTTCTCAGTTTCAAGAGTTCCGAATTCTTCTACATGCCAGGGTCCAGTTATGCCAGCACCATTTATTGAAGATGGTTTTTTTTCCCTATTATATAATTTTAACTTTTGTCAAAAGTCAAGTGTTCGTAGGTGTTTGGGTCCATATCAGGGTTTTCAATTCAATTCCACTCATCTACCTGTGTATTTTTGTGCCAGTACCAAGCTGTTTTCAGGACTATAGCTCTATAATAGAGCTTGAAGTCAGGGATGGTGATGCCTTCAGAAGTTCCTTTACTGTACAGAGTTGTTTTGGCTCTCCTGGGTCTTTTATTTTTCTATATAAAGTTGAGTATTATTTTTTCAAGGTCTGTGAAGAATTGTGCTGGTATTTTGATTGGGATTGCATTGAATCTGTAGATTGCATTTGATAAGATTGCCATTTTTGCTGTGTTGATCCTACCTATCCAAGGTAATTTTATCCTTGTAGAGTTTGGCAATGACCCTTCTGCTTCTATTGTGTGGAACAGTTTGAGGAGTACTGGTATTAGTTCTTTTGAATTTCTGGTAGAATTCTGCACTAAGACCATTTGGTCCTGGAGTTTTTTTTTTTTTTTTTTTTTTTTTTTTTGGTTGGGAGACTTCATGACTGCTTCTATTTCATTAGGCATTATAGGTCTGTGTAAATTGCTTGTCTGCGCTCGATTGAAGTTTAATAACTGATATCTATCCAGAAAATTGTCCATTTCCTTTAAATATTCAAATTTTGTGGACTACAACTTTTTACAGTATGACCTGAAGATTCTCTGGATGTCTTCATTGTCCATTGTTGTGTCTCCTTTTTCATTTCTGATTTTGTTTATTTGCATGTGCTGTCTCTCTCTCTTTCTGCCTTTTGATTAGTTTGGATAATGGTTTGTTTATCTTGTTGATTTTCTCCACGAACCAACCCTTTGTTAACTTAATTCTTTGTATTATTCTCTTTATTTCTACTTTATTGAATTCAGCCCTCAATTTGATTATATCTTGGCATCTACTCCTCCTGAATGAGTTTGCTTTTTTTTTTCCCTAGAGCTATCAGTTGGGCTGTTAATTCTCTAGTGTGACTATTCTCCAGTTTCTTCATTTGGATACTTAGTACTATGAACTTTCCTGATTTCAAAGTGTCCCATGAGTTTGGTAAGTTGTGCCTTCATTTTCATTGAATTCTAGGAAGTCTTTAATTTCTTTCTTTATTTCCTCCTTGATGCAGGAATGGTGCAGTTTCACATTGTTCAATTTCCATGAGTTTGTAGGGTTTCTGCAATTTGTGTTGTCGTAGAATTGTACGACATGGTGGTCTGATAAGCTACAAGGGGTTATTCCAGTTTTTTATATCTGGTGAGGTTTGCTATGTTGCCGAGTATGTGGTCGATTTTAGAGAAAGTCCCATGTGGCTCTGAGAGGAAGGTATATTCTTTTGTATTTGAATGGAATGCTTTACAGATGTCTATTAAAGCCAATTGGATCATAACTTCTGTTACTTCCTTTATTTGTCTGTTAAGTTTCTGTCTTGTAGTCCTGTCTAGTGGTGAGAGTGGGGTGTTGAATTCTTCCACTATAAGTTTGTGAGGTTTTATGTGTGCTTTAAGTTTTTGTAATGTTTCTTTTACATTGTGGATGCCTTTGTATTTGGGGCATAGATGTTCAGAATTGAGACTTCTTCCTGATGGTTTTTTTCCTGTGATGAGTATGAAATGACCTTCTTCATCGTCTCTTTTGATTTTGATTTGAAGTGTAATTTGTTAGATATTAGGATTGCTGCCCCTGCTTGTTTCTTGGGTCCATTTGATTGGAAAAATTTTATCTCAACCCTTTACTCTGAGGTAATGTCTGTATTTGAAGTTGAGGTGTGTTTCTTGTATGCAGCAGAAAGATGGATTCTGTCTTTGAATCCATTCTGTTAGCCTGAGTCTTTTTATAGGTGAGCTAAGACCATTAATATTGAGGGAAATTTACAGTCATTAAGTTTTAATTCTTGGTTGTTTGGGATTTTTTCTAAAGCTATTATGTGTGGCTTTATCCCTCCTTTTCTTTTGGCTTTTGGTAAAGTGGGATTATCTACTGCCTATGTTTTTGTGAGTGTAGTTAATTTCCTTTGGTTGGAGTTTTCCTTCCAGTACTTTTTGTAGGGCTGGATTAGTGAGTATGTATTGTTTAAATCTGTTTTGTTTTTCATGGAATATCTTGTTTTCTCCATGTATAGTAACTGAAAGCTTTGCTGGGTATAATATTCTGGACTGTCATTCATGGTCTCTTGGTGTTTATAAATTCTATCCAGGACCTTCTGGCTTTTAGAGTTTCCATGGAGAAGTAAGGTATAATTCTGACAGGTTTGCCTTTATATGTTACTTGGCCTTTTTCCTTTGTTGCTCTTAATATTCTTTCTTTATTCTGTATGTTTGGTGTTTTGATTATTACGTGGCAAGGGGACGTTTTTTGGTCCATTTTATTTGGTGTTCTGTAAGCTTCTTGTACTTTCATTGGTATGTCTTTAGGTTGGGAAATTTTTCTTCTATAATTTTGTTGAATATGTTTTCTGTACCTTTGAGTTGGGTTTCTTCACCTTCTTCTATACCTGTTATTCTTAGGTTTGGCTTTTACACTGTGTCCCAAATTTCCTTGGTATTTTGCGTTAGGGATTTGTTGGACTTGAGATTTTCTTTGGTCGATGAATCTATTTCTCCTAGTGTATCTTCAGTGCCTGAGATTCTCTCTTCTGTCTCTTGTATTCTGTTGGTTATGCTTGCTTCTGTAGTTCTTGATCATTTACCCAGTTTTTCTATTGCCTGTGTTCCCTCAGTTTGTATTTTTATTGTCTCTGTTTCAGGTCTTGAACTGTTTGGATTATTTCCTTCATTTGTTTGAATGTTTTCTCTTAGCTTTCTTTAAGAGATTTGTTGATGACTTGAATTTTTTGGTTCTTTTGTCCATTTCTGTAAGGGATTTTCTCATATCATCTTTGAGGGACTCTATCATTTTCATGAAGTTGTTTTTAAGGTCATTTTCTTCTGCTTCATCTTCGTTGGGATGTTCAGGTCTTGCTGGTGTAGGGTTCCTAGACTCTGGTGGTGTCATATTGGTTTTCTTATTGTTGAATGTGTTTTTATATTGTTGTCTTCTCCTCCCTTTTTCCAGTGGGTGCAGGTGGAGTCTCTTCTTCTCCTGGTGGTATGGGTACAAGGTTCTCTTGGTGGGTTCAAGCAGGTCCAATACTCAGATGGGTCTCAGGATTGTGCAGGTGGGTCTGAGACTCTTTCTTGGTGAGTGGAGGTGGGACCAGCACTGTGGTGTCAGCAGACTCTGGATTGCAGCACCACTGTGGTGAGTCATCCTGCTAGCAGCCCCCAGGCCAGGATATCCCAAAGAGGGCAAGCAGAAGTTGGGCCTGAAACAGGGGCCTTCTGTCACCTCTCTCCTGAGTGGACGCAAGACTAGCACAGTGATGTCAGCAGACTGTGATTGCTTGGATTTCTGGGGGCGAGTTGTCCTGCCAGCAGTATATCCCATAGAGGGCAGACAAAAGGAAGTTGGGCCTGAGATAGTTGGACTCTATTGAGATTTCCATATCACATAGCTTCTATTCCTTAGCATTTTAAAAAATATTCTGGTTGGTAAAATTACTGGTAGTATTTTCATCCCTCCAGTTAGAAATAGTGGCTCATGTGAGATAGACATGGTGTGTAACTTTCAGCTCTTCCTCTATTCACCTACTCGTTATGTAAAATGTCTTTTTTTCCCAATTTTCATGGTTCATTTCTCTATATTTCCGGGTACAATGATAATATTCATAGTTATTTTTTCCTTACACAAAATATGTTTTCCCATGCTCTACTGTCTATAGAAATGTTGATAATGCCTGTGGTATCATTTTTCATTTTGGGGTTTGGTTATATGTTTTAGCATTGTCTGTAACAGGATTGTATTAATTTTAACTTTTTATTTTGACATCTTGGTGTGAAATGTCAAGAAGAGTTCCAGTCTTTGTTCCTAAGACAGAAACTCAGAGAAAAACAACAGTGATGATGGCTGCTTCTCCAATAAATGCTCCCCAGGTGGGTTTCATGTCCATAATTCTTTTAAAAATCTTTTTTAGTCTTATCAAAGCCATGCAGGCTTTTAATTCCCTGCCTCTGGTAAGCCTATTTAAAGTGTTTATTCCCTATCATTTTTTTCTTTTTCTTCTCTGATAATTAAGATTAAATCTTTAAGCTCAGTTTTATCCCACAGTATCCTCCCTTGATTATTAGTAAGGATGTGTATTTTCCATGCACTTAAGACCTGCAGTTCTGAAAGATTCCATTGTGAATGATGATCAAAGAAATATATTGATGTCCAGTTCTTACGGAGGATGGACTTGGGTCTTTTGGTAAGGAGTGAAGGTCTCATGGGCCACATATCATCCATTTCAGGAATGATAAGGTTTCCAGAAACACATGGGCCTTTTGGCCTATATCACAGAGCCCTTTATGGAAAAGTAGAACTAGAAGACACTCAGCGTGCTGAACCCTAGTAGTACATATTTCAGCATCCTGGAGAGTAGAGCTGATGGATGGAATTTATGCCATAAAACTGACTTTTCCGAGAGGAGATGCAGATTGCAGTATAGTGGATTTTTTATAGCTATTAGCTATCACACAGAGATGATGGGTGTGTTGACACCTGAAATCTAGTTGTCTCAGGAGAGGTGCTGTTCAGGTCAGTTTCCTGATAACAAGATCACGCTCAGTGCGAAGTTCTCACCAGACATATCAGTGCTTTCTTTGTCTTTTGTTTTAGTTTTCAGACAAGGTGTAAGCAGTCCTGTCTCCAATTATATATTATATTAGTGAGAATTTTCTAGAGGTAGTGACTTGGTGCTGTACGTAAGCCATCTATTTTCAAGCACAAACAAATGTCCTTCTTAATGACTTTGCTCTCTTCTTTGGGCAGAGAAAGGCTCCCCCCGCTCCATATGTTTCCTTTTCCTGTAGCTATGTATTACATAGGCAGAGATTCTGTAAAGAGGTTGCAAGGGTCAGCTTCTTATTTCGTACATTAAAGAAGTCTTTATTAAGTATGTGACTTATAAAACATGATCATTTCCATATTTTTATGTGCACTGCAAGCATCCATTGATGTATATGGAACCCCGAGGTGGGCACCAAACCCTTGGTATGGGAGTAAAACACTGCAGTAAGCTACCATATATGTATTGAGAATTAAACTGTATTTTTCTGTAGGAAAAACAAGTTCCCTTTACCTCTGAGCCATCTTTTCATCCCTTGGGTTTACATTTTTGGTGTACATTCATGATGGAGCCAGGGTATAACCTTGTGTCTTCTATTATTTTTACAAATATGAAGGAAGAATCATAAATGATACTTATTTATGCAATGTAAAATCACGTTAGACTATTGAGTTCAAATAGAAAAGAAAAGAATAGAGTTGAAGCCTGGCAGGGGTGAAATATGTCTTTAATCCAAGTACTTAGGAGGCAGAGGCAGGCAGATCTGGGTGAGTTCGAGGCCAGCCTGGTTTACAGAGCAAGTTACAAGACAACTAGGGCTACATAGAGAAATCCTGCCTTGAAAAACCAAGAAAAAAAGAGTTGAGTTTATAAGATTCAAATTTTCAATTGAGATAATGACATGAGTAAAAATATTTCCAAAGTTAATGAAGAGATAGCATCATTCTCACACAACTTAATACAATCCGGTTGATCACAGAAAATCTACTTCCATCAGAATGCATTGTCATATAGGACATGCATTTATACATATTTTTCTAGTTATGTGTAGTGAACCCCAATAGGGGAATTTCTGAAACTGTATTTCATCTGTGTTGGTTTTGTCACTTTTAGAAAAATGTAGAAAATGTTGTTAATGCTGCCTAATGCTGATTTCTGTATTTACTTGATGATTGTGAAAATATTCTCATTACAATAACTTCATAAAGTATTTGAGTCTATGAGTTGTTTGGAGTGTTGGATGTCTGCACTGATATGACCCTCCTGACTGTTTACAGAAAACACTTTTTTAATTCATCCATGAATTCTACATTCCATATTCTACCTCTTTGCTCTAGAAAGGGTGCAGTATTGTATCTAGACCTCAGGATTTCCTCTGAGCATGTTAGAATAGAGTCAGAGTCAGGTGAGGCCCAGCTGTGGACAGGATTGGTACAGTGTCCATATTTAAGCAAGGTTGACAGTTGTATAATTTGGAAGCACAGTTTTGCACATAACTTATCCATTTATGATGAAGCAATGTGATCCTGTTTGACATCAACATAGCTTTCATAAAGATACATTCTGCACCTAGACCTCAAATGTGTATCACAGAGTCCCTCAGAGTTTGCTGGTCTATTATGCCATCCTGTTTTCATAGAGATAGAAAATATTTATTATGAATATTCTACAATGTATCTTTTGCTAAGACTAACTTTCTCTTTTATGTGTGTGTATATGATATATTTGCATGAATGTTTACAGGAGTAGTATTTGTACTTCTGTTCTTTAGAGCTCACAGACAGCCTTAAATTGAAATGGAGTTATAATCTATTATGTGGGTGCTGGGAACCAAACTTGGGTCCTCTGGAAGAGGCACCAGTGCTCTTAACTTCTGAACTATATCTGAAACATTTTTAGAAAACTTTCTCTTTGAATAATGTTATGCCTCATCTATATCATGAAAGTGTCTTTAATTGCTTAAGTCTCTTTTACCTAGGAACGCATTTTGTCCCCCAGTACATGGTAATTGGGTAATTTTCCATTGTAGGGTCTGCTGACATTCAAGAATGTGACTGTGGACTTTTCCCAGGAGGAGTGGGAATGTCTAGACTCTTCTCAAAGGGCTCTGTACATGGACGTCATGTGGGAGAATTATAGCAATCTAGTTTTTGTAGGTAAGAATGCTTTTCTTGTACAACTCCTGACTCTTCCTTGGTATGCCAACTCTCTGATCTGTCTAGAGACTGCCAGAAATAAGGGAAATTCTGATAATAATAGCCATAACTTTACATTTTCAGTGTTCTCTGCAAGAGCAACCAACGCTATTATACTGTCAATCTCTCCAACCCCCTTACCTACTGTTTAATCCTAACTTCAGAGTTCAAAGAAATTGAATGTTTAAAGCAAGGGAATGCATTGTGGTTCGTATAGTTGTTGGATATTTTGATTTTCACTATTGGACTAAGCGATTCCCTTATTTCTGATTTCAAAAAAAAAAAGATTTTAAAATAGAGAAAGAGCTGTTGATGGTGGCATGTTGTTTTGTTGTTTTGAGATATGGTCTCTAGTCCTGGCACAGCATGTTTTTAATCCTGTCACTAGAGAGGCTGAAACAAGTGGATCTGGTGAGTTCTAGGCCAACATGTGTTATATAGTGAGTTCCCAGTCAATGAAGGCTACAGAGTGTGATTCTCTCAAAAACACAAACAAGAAAAAAGAGACTCAGTCTACAAAAGATTATTAAGAGAGCCCCCTTCTCAAAGTACATTAGTTAGTGTTCTCTCACCTGTTTGTTCAAGCTTCTGCAAAGTATGAGGAATGGATATGAATGAAAAGACTATTCAGTAATAGTCTTGGTGGGTTGATGGAGATCAGAGTGGAGGTTCTTTTGAGCATCCATTTAATGATAGTGAAACACAAAAGGCCTCTGTGAGAGTTCTATTTCTATGATTTGCTAACTTATTTGTCCTAGAGAACTTCAGGATGCACCAGTTATTGAATCTGTTTAATCAAGCATCAATCCTTATTATCCCTAATTGTGCTAATTTTTCCAGAGAACCATTGTATTTGTGGTAAATACGAGATTGTCCTGAATCAAGGCTCAAAGCGTATTGTCCATGAGGATGTGAATACCCAAGAGAAGTCTCACAAATGTTATGAGCTTGGCAAAATGATTCATGAATCTTCCCAGTGTGTACCTTATAATACAAGTGGTGCTACAGAAGACTGCAAGAATTACAGAGGTGGTACCCACAAGGATACCTCTACCGAGTCATCAAACCGAAAGAGACACAGAAGTGGGAAGGCTGTAGGAGAACAATGCAAACATAAAGACTACAGGGAGCGTTTAAATGTGTGTTCCAACATTAGCCAGTCTCAACAAATCCACACTGGAAAGAAAGAACACAAAGATACAGACTATGATAAACTTTTTGACTCTAAGCATGAACTTACAATGAAACTAATCCAGAATGGAAAGAAACCGCACCAATGCAGGAAATGTGGAAAATGCTTCAGGACCTATTTGAGCCTCAGTAAACATCAGCGAACTCATCCTGGAGAGAGACCCTACAAGTTCGTAGACTGTGATAAGTCCTCTTTGCATTTGTCACACCACAAGGCACAGAAAACCCATTGTAGAGGAAAACCCTACAAATGCACAGAATGTGGCAAGTGCTTTTATCATTCATCAGGGTTTAAAAGACGTTGCAGAAACCACACTGGGGAGGAGACTTATAAATGTAAAAATTGTAGAAAATCCTTTATCTGTTGCTCTGGTCTTAGAAAACATCAGAAAATTCGTGGAAGCGAGAGGCCTTATAAATGTAAACAATGTAATAAGTCTTTCTATACATCTTCACACCTTGAATACCATTACAGAAGGCACAGTGGAGAGAAACTTTACAAATGTAATGAGTGTGGCAAGTCCCTTTCTACCTCTTCAGGTCTTAAAAAACACCAGAGAATTCATACGGGAGAGAAAATTTACAAATGTAGCGACTGTGGGAAATCCTTCACCTTTCGTACATCTCTTAGACTGCATCAAAGAATTCATACCGGAGAGAAACCTTACAAATGCAATGAATGTGGCAAATGCTTTATCCAGAAAGTGAACCTTAGAACACATCAGACTATTCATTCAGGAGAGAAACCTTTCAAATGTAGTGAATGTGGGAAATCCTTTACTGTTGGCTCCGGTCTTAGAAGACATCAGACAATTCATACTGGAGAGAAACCTTATAAATGTAGCAAATGTGGGAAATCCTTTCCCATTGTCTCAGACCTTAGAAATCACCAGAAAATTCACACTGGAGAGAAACCTCACAAATGCAGTGAGTGTGACAAATGCTTCATCTGGAAAGCTGATCTTAGAACTCACCAGAAAGTCCATACAGGAGAGAAACCTTACAAATGTGGTGAATGTGGGAAATCCTTTACCACTGGTTCAGGCCTTAGGAGACATGAGAGAATTCACACAGGAGAGAGGCCTTACAAATGCAGTGAGTGTGACAAATACTTTGTCCAGAAAACCAACCTTAGAAGACATCAGAGAATCCATACAGGAGAGAAACCTTACAACTGTAGTGAGTGTGGCAAATCCTTTAATACTGACTCGTATCTTAGAATACATCAGAAAATTCATACCGGAGAGAGACCATACAAATGTAGTGAGTGTGACAAATACTTTATCCAGAAAGCCAAGCTTAGAATACATCAGAAAATTCATACCGGAGAGAAACCTTACAACTGTAGTGAATGTGACAAATGCTTTGTCCAGAAAGGCAATCTGATAAGTCATCAGAGAATTCACACAGGAGAGAAACCTTACAAATGTAGTGGGTGTGACAAATCCTTTACCATTGGCTCAGTTCTTAGAAAACATGAGAAAATTCATACAGGAAGAAACACACTAATCCTTTATCCAGGAAGCCAGGTTTAGAACTCATCAATGTATGAATATAGGAGAGAACCTTATAAAATGTAGTGTACATAGCAAAGTCTTTACCACCTCTCAGGTCTAAGAAATCATGAGAAAATTCAAACTGGAGATCAAAGTTTCCAAAGCCTTTAAGTAATATTCAAATCTTAGAAAAAAAAAATCAAGACTTTATACCCAGGAAAAATTTTGGAAATGTGACATTGTAGGAAAATTTTCATTCAAACATTTTACGTCTTCACCCTCAAATACTTCATAATGAAAACAAAATGGAGAAGCATGAAGACTGTGAGTTGTGTAGCAGGTTTCTGGAGCCTGAAGCATTCCATCCTCTAGGGAAGCTGATTAAGACAGGAAATAAATCATTCAAAATAGCTTCAAGAATTTCCTGAAACTGACAGGATTCACTATGCTTACCACCACTGAAGAAGTTATATCAGTCTTGCTGCTTAGAAGAGGCTTTGTTGAATTGATCCAGTCAGGTATGATGCTCTTGAACACATAGATATGCCTGCAGGTGTGTATGCTGTGGGTGCCCAGTGTTCAAATGCTGTATTTCATGCCGACTTGGAGTTTCATGTTGGTAACGGTCTTTGAGTCACTTTTGTTCCTATAAGCAACTCCGGTCCCTATTTATGTAAGTAACCCCAATAAAGCTCATTGGTTCAACAAGATGGATTTCATTGGCAAGTGTGGTGAGATCTTGGCTGTACAAATAAAGTCGGCTTGGGGGTCAGAGAGTGGAGCTTGCCACTAACTAGCCATAGAGGTCTGGAGGTCTGTACAGACAGGCAGGAAGTGAGATAGCTGGACAGAAACAGGATGTAAGCAGGGAGACATAGGATGCTAAGGAGGTAAGATGTGCTGTGACTTGCTCCTTCTCTCTGATCTCTCAGCATTTCCCTCTATATCGGACTCTAGCTTTTTATTATTTAGACCAATTAAGAACTCCATTTACAGACAAGTATACTTGGTTCTGTTGTCAGTTCCCATTTTGCCTGAGTGGGTGCATATGAATGTTGTGTCGCCTCAGGAAAAGTGTCTCATGCAACATATGCTGAACCCGTTAATTGTTCCTCCAAACTTGTCCACCAGAAAATCAGTGTTAGAGATTAAGCATTTGAATCAACTAATGAAGGCAAGAGTGATTGTACTAACTGCTTCAGGCTTACTATTAGAGTAGTACATGGTCCCATGGAAAGGGCTGAAAACAGACAGAATGTAGAGGCTTACTGATCCTAAGAAAGAAGACTGCTGTCTTACATTCATGGAAGAGAGTGAGAGGGACAAATGAAACTATGGGTGTAAGTCTTTGTTACTAACAGACATCCTCCAAACTGGGCTTTGCCTGTGCATGGCTCTGAAATCATGTTTCGACTCCATGATTCAGTCGAACTGCAATGACACTCAGAACACTGATCTCCATGAGTAAAAACTGAATGCCATTGTGCTGTCCTCATGTCCTGTTGTACCTTAGAAATTCCAGTCTACAAGCCTCAACACGTGAATTAAATTCCTTTTGTGAAATCCTTTATACAGCGCTAATATGCAGACATCAGAAAATTCAACGTGAAATAAAACTAAAGAAAATGATTTAATAAAGACATGTATTTGCTTAATTTCATGTGTGAGTGCATCCATACAAACATTAAGAGACTATGAAGCTTTAGAGATGACCTGTGAGGGAGAAAATATGCACATGCTCATACACAGCTTAGAAATCTCCAAAGGTGTGCTGGGAGATCATTTTGAAGTACTGAAAACATGGGGAAGTGTTTAATTCAATTGCAAAGTACTATATTAGAATATTGATACTAAAAACTGCAAGACTCAAAAGTTTTAGACCATAGACAAGGTAACATGTTACAGTGAACAGAACCATACCATTGCATAAGTGTTTCATGGGTTTCAGTACAAAAGGACAGTTATATTCAACTAATGGAGAAATAGTGTTTGAGAACATTTGGTGTTCTCAGTATTGGAGTTTGTAGAACCATGGACTCAAATGGTTAGTGTAATCTTGAGTAAATTTAGGCTCTTGTTGGCAAATAATAATTTGTATCAGTTACTGCTGTGTATAGGCTGATTAATCAGAGAGGATACAATGGAAACTTAGGCTTCTGGACTGGTCCTTAGCAATCTGGTGAATGCAACCAGCTGGACAGACTCTTGGCATGCCAGTTTTAAATGTTCTGTGAATCCAGGCTTCTCTGCTTGGTGACATTAGGTGATTATCCTACCTACTTCATCACAGATTTCCAGTGGTAAATTTGTAAACTTGTGCACAAACGAAGATTCTCACGTTGCATCCCTCACGCAGTATTGTTTTCTGCATTCTGTGTTCGTTTATACGCACGGTTCTGGTGTATGATAGCGGCAAATGTGAAGCGGTGGGTAGAGTAGCCTGACAGCTGGAGCTACATAGAAGGCAGCCTGGATCGAGTCGGACAGATAGATACCGTTGTGGCTGGGACAATCACCTGATCTGAGGAGTGATGGGGAGATGAAGCAGAGGCTATGTGGTCTTGGAAAGTTCAGCAGCATTTGTGCAAGTGCATGGTGAAAGCTACCTTACAGGAGCCATGTTACCTGAACCATAGCGTGATGGTCTGGAAAACCCCCTATTCTCAGAGGGACCTCTGGGGGTTACATTGTTCAGAACCAAATAGAGAACACAGATGGCTTCTCTGTATCTTATATGGAGAGGAAACCTCCCCTCAGCTGCAGGACACCCGGCACAGCATCTGGGAGAGCTGTCAGCAGTGCACTGGGGGAAAACTGCTGCCCAGTGGAGCTTCAGGGCTGGGAAACAGGCACTGAGAACCTATTCAGGGGTTTGAGTAGTTTTTCTGCTGCTGGGCAGGACACTGGCTCTCACATTCTGTTGTGGGTATCTACCATTATCTGTGAAGTTTAGATTGTGTGAACTTGGGTTTATCAGAATTCTTTTCATTAATCCTATGTTTGCAAGCATAGTCACAGAAGAATAACCTGGTAGAGCATTTGCATTATCTCTTGTTTGCAAACAAGGTTCTCATGCTATTGTGACAATCACAATGCTCCTGGAATGAATATATTTCCCGTTTTCCATATTTTGTAGCTTCTTTGTTAAAAATTAGGTGTTCATAAGTGTGTGGATTAATATCGGCATCTTCGATTCAGTTCAATTGGTCCACCTGTCTGTATTGACGGCAATACCAAGCTGTTTTCATTGCTATAACTTTATGGTAGAGCTTGAAGTCTGGGACAGTGATGCCCCCAGATGATCCTTTATTGTACAGGATAGTTTTGGCTATCCTGGGTTTTTTGTTTCTCCATATGAAGTTGAGAACTGTTCTGTCAAGGTCTGTGAAGAATTGTGCTGGGATTTTGATGGGAATTGCATTTGAATCTGTGGATTACTTTTGGTAGGATTGACATTTTTACTATGTTGATCCTACCTAGCCAAGAGCGTGAGCGATCTTTCCATTTTCTGATATCTTCTTTAATTTCTTTCTTTAAAGACTTTAAGTTATTGTTACACGGGTGTTTTATTTGTTTAGTTAGTGTTACTCCAAGTTGTTTTATGTCATTTGTGGCTATTTTGAAGGGTGATGTTTGTCTTATTTCCTTCTCAGCCCATTTGTCATCTTTGCACAAGCGGGCTGCTGATTTTTTGGAGTTAATCTTGTATTCTGCTATATTACCGAAGGTGTTTATCAGTTGTAGGAGTTCTCTGGTAGAATTTATTGGGTCACTTATGTATACTATCATAGCATCAGCAAATAGTGACAATTTGACTTCCTTTCCAATTTGTATCCATTTGATATACTTTCATTGTCTTACTGCTACAGCTAGAACTTCAAGCACTCTGTTGAGTATACATAGAGAGAGTGGATAGCCTTGTCTTGTTCCTGATTTCAGTGGTATTTCTTTGAGAATCTTCCATTTAATTTGATGTTGGCTGTTGGCTTGCTGTATATTACGTTTGTCATGGTTAGTTATGTTTCTTGTATCCCTATTCTCTCTTAGACTTTTATCATGATTAGGTGTTGAATTTTGTCAAAGACTTTTTCAGCATCTAGTGCGATGATCATGTGGTATTTTCTTTCAGTTTTTTTTTTTTTTTGTATGGTGGATTACTTTGACAGATTTTGATATGTTGAACCATCCCTCCATCTCTGGGATGAATACTGCTTGATCATGGTGGATGATTTTTCTGATGTGTTTTTGAATTTGGTTTGCCAGTAATTTTTTTTTTTTGCCAGTAGTTTTTTTGAGGTATTTTTTGCATCTAAATTCATGGGGGAAATTGGTCTGTTATTCTCTTTCTTAGTTGTGTATTTGTGTGGTTTGGGTATCAGTGTAATTGTAGCCTCATAAAAAGTTTGGAAATATTCCTTTTGTTTCTGATGTGTGGAATAATTTGAGGAGTATTTGTATGAGCTCTTCCTTGAATTTCTGGTAGACTTCTGCACTGAATCTATCTGTGCCTGGGCTTCTTTTAGTTGGGGAAACTATTGGTAGCTGTTTTCTATTTCCTTAGTGGTTATAGGTGAATTTAAGGTGGTTATCTGTTCTTGATTTAATTTTGGTATGTGGTACTTATCTAGAAAATTGTCCATCTCCTTGAAGTTTTCCAATTTTGTGGAGTATAACTTATTGAAGTATGACCTGATGATTCTCTGGATATCCTCATGTCTGTTGTTATGTCCCCCCCTTTCATTTATGATTTTGTTAATTTGGATATTCTATCTCTACCTTTTGGCTAGTTTGGATACAGGTTTGTCTATTTTGTTGAATTTCTCAAAGAACCAACTCTTTGTTTCATTGATTCTTTGCCTTGCTTTCTTTGTCTCTATTTTATTTACGTAAGCCCTCAATTTGACTATTTTTTGCCATCTACTCCTGGGTGAGTTTGCTTCCTTTTGTTCTAGAGCTTTTAGTTGTTCTGTTAATTCAGTAGTGTGCAATTTTTCTACCTTCTTTATGTAGGCATTTAGTGCTATGAACTTTCCTGTCAGCACTGTTTTCATCGTGTCCCATAAGTTTGGGTGTGTTGTGTGGTCATTTTCATTAAATTTTAGGAAGTCTTTTTTTACTCAGTGGTTGTTCAGTTGATCATTGTTCAATTTCCATGTGTTTGTGGGCTTTCTGAAATTAATGCTGCTGTTGAATTCTAACTTAAGCTGTGGTGATCTGATAGGGTACAGGGGTTTATCCAATTTTTTTTTAAATCTGTTGAGGTTTGCTTTGTTACCAAGTATGTGGTCAGTTTTTAGAAGGTCCCATGAAGTGCTGAAAAGAAAGTATATTCTTTTGTCTTTGTGTGGAATGTTCTATAGATGTCTCTTAAGTCCATTTCAGTCATACTTCTGTTAATTCCATTATTTCTCTGTTAACCTTTGGTCTGGGAGATCTGTCCATTGGTGAGAGTGGGGTGTGGAAGTCTCCCACTATTAATGTGTGGGGCTTGATTTGTAATTTAAGCTTAGCTTTAGTAATGTTTCTTTTACAAATGCAGGATCCCTTATGTTTGTGGCATAGATGTTCAGAATTGAGATTTCCTCCTGATAGATTTTTCCTGTGATGAATATGAAATGACCTTCTTCAACTCTTGATTGACTTTAGTTTGAAGTCTATTTTGTTAGGTATTAGGATAGTTAAACCAGCTTGTTTCTCAGGTCCATTTC